GAGTTAATTTATAGACCAAGAGATGGCAGCAGTGCAACATTGATGGATGCAAGCTGCCGTTAAAAATCAAGGAAGAAGAAGAAGAACAGTCCAAGTCCCAGAGTGTGGTCCATGTGTCCCACCATGGGGGATGTGAGGGTCTTAGAGCTGTACAGCGGTGTGGGGGGGATGCACTTCGCTTTAAAGGGTAGGAACCTTCTTCTCTGGTTTCCTTCATGTTGCTGGAGCCTCGGGTTCCTGAGCGGAACACGGTGGGTTGTTTCCAGTCCGAGCTGTGGTTTAGAGGAAACATGAAACTGATAATAATAATGTTAATGCAGTAATAATAATAATAATAACGCGTTTTAGTTTCTTCTTCAGTGGCTTTTGTTTTGACGGCGCTGAAGTTGGCTTTCGATTTGACCCAGTGTAAAGGGATATTCCACAGTTTTTTTTAAACTGCTGAACATTCCTAACTTTTATTGTTTCTGGATGATATGTTACAATGTTTAATATTGTGGGGGGTTTTAGTGAAGGCTCACACTGTGCTGGATTTATTACATGTATTCACATTTAGCCACAACATCATACAGATCAAAGTGGCCGGCTCTTTGTATTTTTATATAAATTATATAAATCCCTGTCAAATCCAGGTTTGAATTCAAAACCTTACTTCTAACCTACAAAGCTCTCAACAACCTAGCTCCGTCTTCTATTTGAGATCTTACTGTTCCATATTTTCCTATCAGAGCACTTCACTCACAGACTGCAGGTTTACTTGTGGTTCCTAGAGTTTCCAAGAGCAGAATGGACGGAAGATCTTTCAGTTCTCAGGCTCCTCTCTTGTGGAACCAACTTCCAGTTTCTGTCCGTGAGGCTGACACAATATCCAGTTTTTAGACTTTCCTTTTTGATAAATCCTATAGTTAGTGTTGGCTTGTTATCAGAATCAGAATCAGAATGCCTTTATTGTCATTATACGCAGTACAATGAAATTAAGAGCCACTCCTTTTTCCAGTGCAAAAACACGCCTTAAGAAAACACACATTAAACACACACTAAAAATATAAAAAATGTAACGCAATATAGATATAATAATGAAAGTAAAAAAATACAAGTATTACACAATTGTATTGCACATCATGGATATTAGTGAGGTAGTTAAGGTGACTGAGAGTATGAAATGTCAGTAGTATTGCACAGTAGAAGTCCAGGTGTTTGGGAGGTTAGATGATTAAATCAGTACATGTGTGAGTTCAGTGTGGTGATGGCTTTCGGGAAAAAACTGTTCTTGAACCTGTTTGTTCGTGTTCTGATGCACCTGTAGCGCTTCCCTGAAGGTAACAAGTCAAACAGTTCAACACCCGGGTGTGAACAGTCCATGATTATGTTTTCTGCTCTGTTGAGGCAGCGTGATGTGTAAATGTCCATCAGGGAGGGGAGAGGGCAGCCAATGATCTTTTGTGCTGTCTTGACTACTCTCTGAAGCCTCTCCCTGTCAGCCAGGGTGCAGCTGACGTACCATACTGAGATGCAGTATGTCAGCAGGCTCTCGATGGACGAACGGTAGAAGGTCAGCAGCGGTTTTGTGTTCAGGTTGTGCTTCTTAAGGACTCTTAAGAAGTGTAGTCTCTGCTGAGCCTTCTTGATGACCGCTGTGGTGTTCTCTTTCCAGTTTAGGTCAGCAGAGATATGGATGGACACCAAGAAATCTGAAAGTGTGAACCCTCTCCACGCACTCGCCGTTGATGTAAAGGGGGGCTAGGTTGGTGCTGCGCTTCCTGAAATCAATAATCACCTCCTTGGTTTTTTTGATATTCAGAGCCAGATTTTTCTCTGAGCACCAGGTTGCTAGCTCCAGGACCTCCTGTCTGTAAATTGTCTCATCTCCCCTTGAGATTAGTCCGACCACTGTGGTGTCATCAGCGAACTTGACGATGAGGTTGTTGTTGTGGGCCGGGATGCAGTCATGGGTGTAGAGACAGTACAGCAGGGGGCTCAGCACACAGCCCTGTGGGGAGCCAGTGCTCAGCGTACGAGTGGATGCTGCTATAGGCGTAGACTACTGGAGGACTAAGTGACCTCATTCCTTAAAAGGAATTGCTAAAATTGAATAGTTTTCATTTGATATTAAAGTGTATAGTGATATAGTTTTATATTATAGTATATAGTGCCCTGAGATGACTTCTGTTGTGACTTGGTGCTATATAAATAAACTGAATTGAATTGCATTGTTACAGAAAGTTGATTCAAATATTTCAATATGTTTAAACATAAAACTAGCCTATATGTCCTGTCCATTTAATTACATCATCACTGAGACAGAGCCACAGAGAACTGCAGAGGGACCTATGTGGCCCCTGAACCTCAGGTTGCAAACCCCTGTTCCACACTGAATACAGGTTTTAAAAGCAATTTGTAAGATCATGTATTGGTGTGTTAATTTATTTTCTTTTATAGTTTTAGTGTCTGTTTGTTGTTGTTTTTTTGTGAACCACCTTAGTTCAGGTCAGGGTCAAAAACCAGAGTGCTTAGACCGGTCAAACACGAGTGATGTCATCCTGAACAGAGTTTTGAAAAAGCAGTGCTTTGTCTTTTACAAATATATAATTCAATACAATACAGTTCTCCCATTCTGCTTTTGGAAACGTGTTTTTATTCTAGCAACAAGTTAGAAAACCACAATACTTAGGGACCAGATAAGTCTGGTCTGGATTGTGAACACAGTTATTTTTGAAGACCACGTATCAAGAAGGGATCAAGGTGTCCCTCTTCCTACAGGGCTACAACATTTATCATCCAGGAGAGACGTTCTGCTTCTCCACATATGTTGAGCTGAAAGCCAGAGTTTTCAACATTAATGGGAGGATGTGTTTGAGCGTAGCGAGATCGCCACGGTAACGGGGTTACCTCCTCACCTGCTCATGAGCAGTGACGGGTGAAGAGGTTCAGGTACAGTAACTGTCGGTGAGATGCTCAACACAGTCACCAGTTTTATTCCTACTAATATCACAGAAACGTTTATCCTTCAAATAATGTGAAATAAAACGTACCTCTTAGATGTTAAGTTAATGTTGGCATTTTATTTGTCAAAATTAATCCAAGCAGTGTTTATTAAGGAATACATTTACATTTAATTATCAAATCTGATCAAATATGTGCCTCTAAGACGTACGAGGCTGAAAAATGATATAACATTAATAATAAAATTATAAAATGTTAGTAATACACCTTTACCAGAGTTAAATGTGTCAACTGGCTGATGTAGAGATGGGTTGTTCATGGTTTTTATATATTTTTTGGATCTGCTGAGACATCTAAACAGTTAATATAAAGTTTTATTTCTGTGCATCAGAGAATATTTACTAAACACCAGGTTGTACTGTCAGTGAAGTAGTTTGTACTTTATGGGACAGAGTAGGAGCTGAATAAACCTTACTGGGAGTCAGAAGTTTCAGATCCTTCAGTCCTGACCAGGCAGCATCCCCAACCTCCCAGGGCTCAGTGTGAACGTCTGCAGATTAAACTTGTTTCAGTCCAAACAGTTTAATGAGAAAAGAGAAGTTTGGAGTTTTGAAACTCTTGATATTTTTTTATTTTTTTTTGTCCCAATTAAACGTTTCAGAACAAATGTTGATTTCAGACTAAGATAACCGCAGTAAATGGAGTTTTAAAAGGATTATTGAATTTGTTAAGAGATTGGTGGCAAAGGGCAGCACGGTAGAGCAGTTGGTAGAGCTGCTGCCTCTCAGCGAGAAGGTTTACGGTTCAAATTCCGGCCCGGGACCCTTCTGGGTGGAGTTTGCATGTTCTCTCCGTGCATGCGTGGGTTTTCCAGTTTCCTCCCACATACAAAAACATGCATGTTAGGCTGATTGGTAACTCTAAATTGTCCATAGGTGTGAGTGAGAGAGTGAATGGTTGTTTGTCTCTATGTGTCCCTGTGATGGACTGGAGACCTGTCCAGGTGTCCCCCGCCTCTCACAGAGTGACTGCTGGACATGGGCACCAGTGACCCGAAAAGGAAGAAGCAGGTAAAGATAATGGATGGATGGAAGGCGGGCGAGAAAGTTTGGATTCCATCAATCCACAGTCACACAGATTGTGTAAAAATGGATGAAAGACCATTGTTACCCTCCCTGGGAGTGGTGGACCAACAACTACAAGATCAAGGTGGGGAATAGTCGGCGAGGTCACAAAGGACCTCAGGGTAACTTCTAACAACTGAAGGCCTCTCTCACATTGACTAATGTTAATGTTCATGAGTCCACCATCAGGAGAACTGAACAACCATGGTTCATGGCAGGTTGAAGGAGAAAGACGCTGTTCTCCAAAAAGAACGTTGCTGCTCATCTGCAGTTTGATAAAGATCACGTGGACAAACCAGAAGACTGTTGGAAGAATGTTAGGTGGAAAGATGAAATCACATATACATTTTTGGATTAAATGAAAAGAGTTCTGTTTGGAGAAAGTAACACTGCATTCCTGCATAAGAACCTGATGCCATCTGTGAAACATGGTGGTGGTAGTATCATGGTTTGGGCCTGTTTTGCTGCATCTGGACCAGGACAGCTTGTCGTCATTGATGGAACAATGAATTCTGAATTATATCAGAGAACTCTTAAGGATAATCTCATAACATCTGTCCATGAAGTGAATCTCAAGAGAAGGTGGGTCATGCAGCAACACACTGACCCTCAGCACGCAAGTGGTTCTAACAAAGTGGTTAAAAGGTTTACAAACCTTTAAGCACCACTTCACGTCTTGCACCAGATTTAGGAAATATGTGCAACTGGCGGCTGGAAGTTCTTCAGGATTTTCTAACAGACCAGAATTCACGGTTCCATAAATTATGGCAAGTCGTGCAGCTCCTGAAGCAGCAAAGCAGCCCCAGACCATCAAACTACCACCCCCGTGTTTGACTGTTGGTCATGTGTTAATTTTCTGAAATTAAGTGCTGGCTTTACGCCATATTTAACGAGACGCACATTTTCCAGAAAGTTCCTCTTTTGCCTCTTCAGTCCACAGAGTATTTTCCCAGAAGTCTTGGATCACTGTGTTTTGGTAAATGTGAGACGTGTAAATTACTTCCACATAGGACCAGGTCAGTTTTTATCCTTTGATAACTGCAGTCATTTAATAATTGCATTTTGTATTTACTCCTTTTGTCTTTGTCTGATATTAACATTTGTTTGATGATGCAAAACATTTAAGTGTGTCAAAGAGGCACAAACAGAAGAAATCTGTAAAGACTAAGAAGGAAACATGTTTCGTCCTGACAGTAGTTCACCAAATCTTCTTGTAAATTCACAACCAGGAAACAGATTAGACTTTATCTCTACCTAACTTCTTTTTTCTTTGTCTTTTGCAGAAAGTGGCGTACCTGCCCAGGTCGTTGCTGCCATCGACATAAATACCACAGCCAATCAAATCTACAAGCATAATTTCCCAGACACGCCCGTTTGGAGCAAAACCATCGAGGTTAGTTACGACTTCAGAACAGCAGCATGACCGCCTGATTTAAACAAACGTCACTTCACATTTGATTTTTCTTTAAGTTGCACCAGAATGAGGAAATGTGCACAAAATGTTTAAAACGTCGTTCATTTCTTCTGACCCAAGTTTAGAAAACAAAATGGGGGACAGTATGAAAATGTTAAGAAACAACGAAAGCTGCTTTTCTCTGGACACACTTTGACTATATCACTGCAGGCAGTTTAATCCTAAAACATTTAACATTTTTATCCTGTAAACTGTTTATGTTTATTAATTTACACTTTTTCCATTTTACACACAATACTGAAAAAAATCAAGCACCGGCACCAAGCATGAATCACTAGCATGTGCAAACACTTTTTATGCTTTCTCTGTTAACAAAAGGTGTTTAAGTACAAAGAAATGACCAGGAAGTCATTTTGTTAATATAGTTGCACATACCCTCCTCTTTGTCGGTTATGGATTGTAATGGTGCTAAATATGGATTTGTCATATTTTGTTAGGATTGCATGACCATCTTGCAAAAAAGGGACATTAAAGACAGAAAATCTTTCATCTCAAACCAAGTCCTCCTGTCTCTTATACAAGTCTACATCCTTACCATCCCATCCCATCCCATCCCATCCCATACAGTCCCATAGCATAGCATATCATACCATCCCATACCATACCATCCCATACCATACCATCCCATACCATACCATAGCATAGCATACCATACCATCCCATCCCATACCGTCCCATAGCATAGCATACCATACCATTCCATACCATCCCATAGCATATCATAGCATCCCATACCATCCCATACCATCCCATACCATCCCATCCCATCCCATAGCATACCATAGCATCCCATACCATCCCATAGCATACCATACCATCCCATACCATCCCATACCATAGCATCCCATACCATCCCATACCATCCCATAGCATACCATAGCATCCCATACCATCCCATAGCATACCATGTCATACCATCCCATCCCATACCATCCCATCCCATAGCATACCATACTATCCCATGCCATGCCATCCCATAGCATCCCATACCATCCCATCCCATACTATACCATACCATACCATACCATACCATACCATTTTATTTATAAAGCACTTAAAACAGCAACAAGGCCAACCAAAGTGCTGTACAACAGGGAACAAACAAACAAAGCACACAGCAAAACATAAAATAAAGTAAAATAAAAATATAGATACAAATGGAAGAAGATAACAACTAAATGGCTAACACTGTAGAATACAGACAGTTTAAAACAAATCACACCATGTCAAAAGCCAGGGAATAAAAGTGGGTTTTTAAGCTAAACTATTTTTTTAAAAATAACTTAAACTAAAATACTTCCAAACTAAAAGTGTAAAACTGGCCTTTAATTGTAACACAAATTAAGCAATGCTTCATCTTTCAATAACTACCAATTTATATAATTTCAACTATAATAATTGTGTGAAGAACACATCATGAGTTATTTTGTTTTTAGCTTCACAGAGGCCAACTCGATTAATTTTTATTATTTTATTTCTTTTGATGTGGGCTGTAGAAGAACATTAAACAGGATGATACTGAATATGATGCTGAACATTTCTGACTTCACTCTGAAGTTGCAGCCATGTCTGGGGCTCACCTCATCAAAAACATCTCCAACACTGCCATCTAGTGGTAAAATTAAGAATGTTAAATGTGAAAAGGAAGAAAACACTTGTGACTATGATGCACAGGAAAGACATCACGAGCAGCATGCACACAACAAACTGAACATATAAAATACATGAATTCTTCCATGTCATGAAACAGTTTAAGTTAATAGACATACAGACATGGATGTAGATACATTTTCTTGCTGGGGGCTGGGTCGGGGTTATATTTCTGATCAAACTGACTGTTCACAAACTGGAGATTTTATTTTTTATTTTTAAAAACACAACTTTTTAAAGATGTTCCTTTTGTACCATGTCTAACAACACAGCAATAAATCACTTCTGATTTTGTGTTATTGTGTTGTTAATGGGAGAGTGGTGGCGCAGAGGTTACAGGAGATGGGCCTGTGATCGAAAGGTCGTCGTTTCGACTCCCCGTACTGACAACATCAAAAATGTGGGTGGGAAAGGTGAAGCACCCACATCTGCCTCCACCCTCATTTGCCCCACCTTGCCCCCCCTAGCGTTGTTGTTATAGGCAAAGCTTTTTCTTAGTTTACACATATCCCAGATAAGTCGGCCTGCTTCAAGGCCAACTGGGGGAATCAGATTCAGATAAGCCAGGTCTCTCTTGTAAATGAGTCCTCGAGGCTCAATGGGATTTACCTGTCTAAATAAAGGTTGAATGAATGAAAAAAGCCAGCCACAATTGATGTTTTTCAGGCAGACTGTTTCTTTCTTGTCAGCCTTGAGTCCTGCTGGTACTTTCAAGATCCAAAATGCCAAGATCTGTGAGCATTTCCACTGGTCCATGCCTACGAGGCTCCTCAAAGGTTGTCTCCAACATGATGGCAAGTCCCAGAAGCCACAGGTGGCCTGCGATTCTCACAAATCGCATCCATCTTACGGTTTAGCTCGTAAATCGGCTGATTTTGAGTCCTTGAAGCATGAACCACACCTTCAAACAGACTGCAGTTTTACTATGGCCAAAACTGCTGCCACTGTCTTCTTTAATAGCCAATAACACAGGAATCCGCTTATGCCAGAAAGCAGAAACCCTGCTATCACGAATCAAAGTATATAAACACCTTTGGTGTCGACTTGAGACAAAATGGAAAGACACATCAACTCCCAAACTCACCACGGATCCATGACGTACCCTGCCGCGTGAGTCTCAGCGGGGCATGAGGGCTCTCCAGGACCATGTCGCTTTGTTGAAAAGATTTTATCGATTTTGTTGAAAGTCCAGCTGACCCGATCCATGACAGTAGTTTTAATTTTGGAAGATGTGTAACTGGAGCTCCGATACAGAAGACAGAGAGCGAATACAAAGCAGGAGGAGACCAGGAGAGGGAGAGGAGGCATCCACCTTGCACGAGAACGAGTGCAGAATCACACGCTTCTGCTGTGGATTAAGTGTAACGGGATAAGAGGTGCACCGGCACCTCTGACTTACTTTACTGGATTAAAGTAATGAAGCAGAAATGAGCAATTTGTTGAAGAATTACATAAGCAGATTTTTCCTTTCTTTCTTTAGGGCATGACATTAGATGACTTCAATAAGTTATCTGTTGATATGATAATGATGAGCCCTCCTTGCCAGCCTTTTACCAGGTAAGTCTTTGTTTTTTGTAGATCATGTAAAAACAGAACTGAGGCTTTAGGGTTGACAACTGGATCAGTTTAGTTCATGTGAATTTGTTCCATTTAATATATAAAAAAATGACGGTTCAAAAATAAACACCGGGACAATAATTTATTAATCTGACTGGGATTAGTCAGCTGAAGCACAGAAATACTTGATTATCTCTGTGGCTTGATGGCAGCTCTCTTTACTGATGGGGCGTGTTGAAGCTGCAGGTGGGTGGGTCAGAGTCACGTGGGATCATTTTGGCACAGAACTCCATGGTTGGGTTTTCCAGATGTGTAAAAGTGATTTGAATTAAGATTTAGTGTCTTCCTGGTTATTCCTTCCTTAGAATACGTTGAAAACCTTTTTGTTTTGCTTTGAGTTTTTCCAGTCATCGTGCGAGTGAGGGAGGGGGTAAGAGTGGGGTCTGAGTTCTTTAACAAGTTGGACACTTTTATTGAGGCTATAGAAAAACTTTACCTTCACTGACAGTAGTTGTTTTTCTTTACTTACAGTTTTGCTTCATTGGATTCCAAAATCTAATCAAAATGTTACCCAAAACTTTGAAAAACTTTAATTAAATGACTTGCCTGGATTAACATCCCTCAGTCTTATATCAGCTTTGTCGTGGCCAGAAAGCGATTCCCAAAACAACCAGGTGTAGGCTTCATCAGATTTATTTACAGAGCTTTGGAGAACAGCCAGAAATCACAGATCATTGCATTTACAAGTACACACTTTATCAATGCCTTCACTTGTCTGAGGCTCTGACCCGTTCTGACTTCATAAACTGATGAATTCAGTTTTGTAGCAAGCCTCCAGCTCCTCCCCCACTGTCGGGCTGTGATCAGAAACCCAGCTGCAGACAGCACGAGAGGTATCAGTAGCCCCACACAGCTCCCAAGGACTCTCCAAATGTACGCCACTGTATTCATATCAATCAGCCATTGAGGATAATACAAACTATCTCTTGTGTTCTCTTTACTCACATGAAGACTAATTATCACATAGAGTAAGGACCGTGGAACATTTTAATATCGTTCACAATCACAATAAATGAACAGTGAAAATTATGGAGCACGGTGAGTATAAATAATTCGCATTCCCTTGAACGCTTTTTTATAGATTTATGCATTAAATTGTTTTTTTAAATCACTTTCACCTACTTTTGTTGATTGCAGGTTGGGACTTCAGGGTGATATCGGTGACCCCAGGACCAAGAGCTTCCTCTACATCCTTGATCTTTTGCCAAGGTATTAACATATTATACAGAATTTTCAATTTTCAACTCTCTGCTGCATTTTAGATACTAATCAATAGCAATGTGACTACCATGTTGCTATTTATATTTACAGTTATTATCTCATCACAGCGGTCATGTGTTTATGTACAGCAGCCATTTTTCTCCTGTCTGTGTTAAATACCACTGGATGAGCTAGCTTGTATGCATCGGAATGATTAAAAACACAGGTCCACCCTATTTTATAAATTAAGAATTGCTTCTGCCACTGATCCATTTCATCTTCTTCATTTTCATGCACTAATGTCGGTCCAGGCTTCACAAACTGCCCCGCTTCATCCTGCTGGAGAACGTGAAAGGATTTGAGAGTTCCTCTGCCAGGTAACAACTCAGGAGAAGCAGCAGCATCAAAGCTGAACAGTTGACCAACGTCATAGAAACATGTAACGCTCTTTTTCTTTCTTGGGGAAGTCCAGTGTAAGTCCATCTTCATTTAGAAAGTGTTCTCCAGCAGGTTAAATCCAGAACGTTGGGTGGCGGCTACTGGTGGGTACAAAGTGTGCAGAGGTGGACCACAAAACGTGCACGGCCAATAATCCAGTTTTGCAAGTCATGCACTCAAAAACGGGCCGTGCTTTTTAAAAACTGACATGACAACATATAAGGAAGACCCAGCTTCTTGATTCATCCTCGGCTTGAGACAGTTCTAAGCAGCACAATCTGTCCAAGATTGTAAAACAAGGCCTTTAAAACAAGTTTATTAGTGAAGAAATATATATATTGTCAGACATTATCATAACTGGAGGGCCATATCACTTTTAAGAGCAATATGACCTGATATTAAACTGTCAGCATACGTGTACTGTAAGTGATGATGCTGACAGAGGACCTAACTGTATCTTACCAATGATTCAATGAAACCTATTTTCTTACAACTTTTGTTCCTCAAAACAGCCACAGAGCTTGCTGATCACTTGGTCGTAAACACTCAGAAATGGGTCTGCAACTAAGAATTCTAGTCCCAAGTCGGCTGCCGTACCTCTACCCCATCGCAGCCCCCGATGTGATGTCTGATCTCCAACAGTTGCAGCCGAGCGAGATCACTCCCAATGTGTCAGACACAGCTTTTCAGAGCACTGCTAAACACTAGACACACAAAAGCCTCAGTACTGTACCTCACAATCTGATGTGTTTCCTGGGCCTTCATCGGCTTCATCCACATATAAATCAGCAGTTTGGTGGGGCATGGAAAGGTCTTGGTCCACCGTCATAACTGCTAGGGCTGCTGATAGTTGTTAGTCTTTTTTTAAATTATTTGACTGGTTTAATGTAGCACTATGTTTTTTTGTGGGTTGAGGAAACGTGTAATCTAGTCCAGATCGTTGTGACAGTAAATGCTGTCTGGCTGTACTATCTAGACTTTTTATAAATAAGCAGATTAGTTGATTTTAAATTAGGTGTACTTAATATGTGTCGGGATTTACCTCTTAACTTTATATTTGTTTATTTTAGGGATCGTTTGGTACAAACACTGATGGACTGTAGCTACAGTTTCCAGGAATTCATGGTCTCACCAACACATGTAAGAAGGTCAATTCTAATCAGTTTAATAAAATAAAGTAGAAAATGAGGTGATATCAAATATTTTAAAACATTTAAGAGTTTTTCATGGTCTTATTTTCTTTATTATTTAGATTGGGATTCCGAATTCAAGGCTTCGTTATTTCCTGATAGCTAAGATTTCAGCAGAAAACCCAAAGGTAAAGTGTGTCCGTGTTCTGATATGAATTGATCAAGACTCGACAAATTGTCAGCCAGTAAAAAGACAAGAAATGATGAGGCATATTTTCTGTTCAACTCGACAGGAAAAAAAATTAAATTGTTGCAGGGAAACAAAACCTGTACGGTGCATGCGGAGAGTATTCACAGCACTTCACTTGTTCCACATTTTATGTTACAGCCTTATTCCAAATTGTATTAAATTATTCTCTTTCCTTTAAACTCTACCCATAAATACCCCATTGTGATAATGTGAAAAAAAATTCTTGAGATTTTTGTAAATTTTTTGAAAACAGAAAACTAAGAAATCACATTTACGTAAATATTCACAGCCTTTGCTTTATACTTTGTTGATCCATCGTCGGCAGTAATTACAGCCTCCAGTCTTTTTAAAATGATGCTTCAAGCTGAGCACACCCATCTTTAGACAACAAAGTCCATGCTCAATAATCCAGGTATACAATCCAACAATTTTCAGTCAGGTCATCTGGACAGTTTCTTTTTTTGTGTGCTGAAACGTTTCACCTTCCATCCAGAAGGCTTCATCAGTCAAGGAAACACACAACACAAAACTGATTCGTCCCCCAAACAGCTTACTCCAAAGTGGAACAAACCAGTTATGTTGGTGCTAAGATGCCCTCTCCCTCATCGACTGTCATATCAAACTGTTTTGTGTTGTGTGTTTCCTTGACTGATGAAGCCTTCTGGATGGAAGGTGAAACGTTTCAGCACACAAAAAAGAAACCGTCCAGATGACCTGACTGAAAATTGTTGTATCTTTAGGCATTTTTTCCCATTCTTCTTTGCGATACTTCTCAAGCTCGATCAGGTTGGATGGGAGACATTTGTGCAGCCGTTTTCAAATATTCCCAGAGATGTTCAATCAGATTCAAGTCTGGACTCTGGCTTGGCCCCTCCAGGACCTTCACAGAGTGGTCCTGAAGCCACTCCCCTCTGAGGTCTTGGCCGTGTGCTTTGGGTCATTGTCCTGATGAAAAATGAACCGTCGCCTCAGTCTGAGGTCAGGAGCACTCTGGAGCAGGTTTTCATCCAGGATGTCTCTGTACATCTCTGCGTTCATCTTTCCCTCTATCCCGACTAGTCTGTCAGTTCCTGCTGCTGAAAAACATCTTCATAGCATGATGCTTCCACCACCGTGCTTCACTGTAGGGATGGTGTTGGACTGGTGATGAGCGGTGCCTGGTTTCCTCCAAACATGACGTCTGGCCAAACACCAAAGAGTTCAATCTTTGTCTCATCAGACCAGAGAATTTAGTTTCTCTTGGTCCGAGAGTCCTTCAGGTCCTTTTGTCAAACTCCAGACGAGCTGCCATGTTCCTTTTATTAAGGAGTGGCTTTCATCTGACCACTCTACTATACAGGCGTGATTGGTGGATTGTTGCAGGGATGGGTGTCCTTCTGGAAGGTTCTCCTCTCTCCACAGAGGAACGCTGAAGCTCTGACAGAGTGACCATCAGGTTCCTCGTCACCTCCCTCACTAAGGCCTTTATAGGAAGAGTCCTGGTGGTTCCAAACTTCTTCCATTTATAAATGATGGAGGTCACTGTGCTCACTGGGACCTTCATATCCCATACTTCATGTGTTGTACGTCATTTCTCTCCTTCATGGAACAGTAGTTATATGTATAACATTATAGTTTGGTGTCAATGAAAGGGACCAGGAAGGTCAAATGATGGCTGATTTTGACAAGAGGATGGAAATGGCTGTAGTCAGCTCCTATTTCCAAGAGGAAATAACATATAACCTATAAGAGTGGAGGCAGGAGTACACACATAGACTACATTCTTTCTAGAAGAGGTAACCTGAGAGAGATTGGGAATTGTTAGGTTGGGGCAGGGGAGAGTGTGGTCAGCCAGTATTGGAGGATGATTTGTCTGTGTAAAATGACTGTTGTAATGAATAAGAAGAAAATAAAAAAGTCAGAGAAAACCAAATGGTGGAAGTTGGGGAGGAAATGTGAGGACTTTGGTGGAGCTGTTGAAGGTAGTAAGAAATGGCGTCCATATTAATACAGCAATAGTGGTTGGGGAGACAGGTACTTGGTGTGTCTTCTAGACAGATAAAAGAAGATGTGGAAACCTGGTGGTGGAATAATGAAGTCCAGGTAGTTATCCAGAGGAAGAAGTTAGCCAAGAAAAAATTTGATGATATTAAGAGGACTTAATAATAATAATAATAATAATGTCATCACAATGTCAGCACTGTATGTTTCCATACAATGGCGAAATTAGTCTCTGCATTTAACCCATCCACCACCAGGTGGTGCAGTGGGCAGCTATTGAAAGCGCCCGGGGGACATTTTTGGGGATTAGACGTGCTGCCCAGAGACGCCACGTGATGTGCAGTGACTGGGGATCGAACCTGGGACTCTCGGGTCCCAAGCCGGCTGCCCTGCCTCTACACCATCTCGGCCCCATAAGAGAATAGATTGGAATTTAGGGAGACCCAGTGTAGGGCAAAGAGGGAGGTAGCACAGTCAAAACAGAAGGTGTATGATGAGTTGTACGGGCGGCTGTGGCTGAGTGGTTAAAGCAGTCGTCCTCCCAATGCAAGAGTTGGGGGTTCAATTCCACCAGCAATCACGTGCCAAAGTGTCCTTGGGCAAGACACTGAACCCCTCATTGCCTCTGATGTGTGTCCCATTGGTGTATGAATGTAATAAAGCTCTGATTATTATTTGTTCTGATTAGTAGAGTATGAATGGGTAAATGAGGACACGGGTTGTAGTGTAAAACTCTTTGAGTATCTTGATAAGGTAGAAAGGCGCTATATAAGTATAGTCCATTTGTGCAAGAGGCTGGACACTAAGAAGGGAGTGAAAGACTTGGATTGACTGATGAGACAGAGACCTGGCGGGGAGGATGTGCAGCAAGTAAGGCTAGTTTAATATCGAAATTGTAATGTTCAAACAAGTGAGAAAAGTGTGATAGCATTATGGAAGTAGTCATTTGAGGACCTAATGCATGAAGAGAATGAAAGGGAAAGAAGAGCAGAAGCCATAGAAACTGGGGACCAGAAAGTAGGAAAGCTTTGAACAAAATGAAGAAGTGGAAAGTAATTTCAACCTAATGGCAAAATCAGTGGAGGTATGCAAATGTCTGGGAGAGATGGCAGTGAGGTTTTTGACTCAAAAATACAATGACATTGACAGAGTGCTGAGGGAGGTGGTGTGGTATTGCATGAGTAAATCTGGAGTGGCAGAGAAGTATGTTAGACTGGTACAGGACATGTATGAGGACAGCAGGACAGTGGTGAGATGTGTTGTAGAAAAGTGACAGATAGCTTCAAGGTGGAGGTGGGATGCATCAAGGATCAGTTCTGAGCCCATTCTTGTTTGCTCTGGTGATGGACCGACTAACAGATGAGGTCAGACAGGAATGCCTGCGGAATATGTTGTTTGCAGATGACATTCTGATATGTGGTGAAAACAGGAAACAGGTGGAAGAGAACTTGGAGAGGTGGAGGTATGCACTTGAAAGAAGAGGAATGAAAGTCAGCTGTAGTAAGACAGAGTACATGTGTGTGAATGAGAGGGAGGCCGGTGAAACAGTGAGGCTACAAGGAGCAGTGTCACAAAGGTGCAGGGCTTCTCCAGGAAAATGGGGAGTGTGGTAAAGAGGTGAAGAAGAGAGTCCAGGCAGGAGTGGATGGAGAAATGTTTCAGGAGTGATTTGTGAGAAAAGGATGTCTGCAAAGGTCAAAGGAAAAGTTTACAAGAAAGTGGTGAGACCAGCTATGTTGTATGGTCTGGAGACAGAGACATGGACAAAAAGACAGGAGAAAGAACTGGAAGTAGCAGAAATGATGTTGAGGTTAGATTAGACCGGAGTCCATCAGCCAGTACATTGAAGCTTGGGTGCAAATGGATTTTCCACTTAGTGCACCCTTAGCAAATTAGTTACAATGTGGCTCAAGCACAACAAATTCTATGTTATGTAGTGGCCATCTCAAACTCCTAAACTCAGTCCTATCATACAAGCTTGTGGGCTTAGCTGAAAAGGCATATGTGAACATGGCAGCCTACAAATCCAACACAGTTACACCAGTTCTGTCAGGAGTAATGGGATAAAAGTCATGCACAACGTTACAAAAACATTGTAGAAAGAAACCCGAACTGTTTTAACCAAGTCATAAAGTTTAAAGATAATCCTACCAAATACTAAGAAAATGGACGGAAGCTTGTGACTTTGAAAAAAGTTTAAAAAATCCTCTAAAATATTCTCTCATTATTTAAACATTTAACAAACAGAAATACTTTTGGGAATCCTAACTGACCTAAAACAGCAAATGTTGTCTTATTTAGTTTAACCTATATAAACTTAAATGTACATTTTTTTGTTCTTGTTGTAGGTTTCCTGTTCCGCCCTACGTCCTGCTGAGAGTGAAGTCCCTTCAGACTCAAATTCCACCTGTTCAAGTCCCAGCCAGCTAGATGAGAAAACACCCAGTGGTCACGTCTTGTTTAAACTTGAGACAGCAATGGAAGCTCAGAGGAAGGTCTCTCAGAACAATGATCTCTCTGTCAGACAAATACAAGACTTTTTGGAACCCATGACAGAAGAAAACATGAATCACTATCTCCTGGCTCCTAAAACACTGTTACGTTATGGTCTTATTTTAGACATCGTTCAACCCAAATGCAGGAGATCTGTCTGCTTTACCAAAGGGTGAGTTCAGTTACCATCTTTGTTTCTTTTCTCCAATTTGAACGGTGTGCAGAGTGCTACTTACTCATTCGTCGCTATTCTAACTTTGGTGAAATTAGCACAACGGCACCTCGACACGCCCAATCAGAGCTAGGACACACCCACAAACAGAGGGGTTTGTGTGTCCACCAATCACAGTGAGCCAATCACTCAGCAGCATTGTTTTGTTTTTTATTTTAATATTTCTTGATGCAACCCTCCCCAAAAATGCCAACAGGTTGTCACATTTCTCTCTTCTGTCTAGTATGGACGCTTTAATTCTCTGAACTCTAAGGGTTATGAACATAACTCTGCTGTTTGCGTTTTTTTTCTCTCCACGTCATCAAAAATATGATGCCAGCATTTTTTTCTGACCACATGCATCATTGAAGTTGCAGCAAGAAAACAAACTACTTTCTGAATATAGTTTTGGTCTCACATCAACCAGTGCCAAACTTGGGTTCAGTTTCACTAGGGCTTATACACTGCCTGCCCACCCCCCAAAAAAGTTGCCACCAAAAAAAAGGTCACACACTAATAGTTTGTTGGACCGCCTTTAGCTTTGATTACATCATGCAGTCGCTGTGACATTGTTTCGATAAGCTTCTGCAATGTCACAAGATCTATTTCCATCCAGTGTTGCATTCATTTTTCACCAAGATCTTGTGTTGATGACTAGACACTAGGCATGATGGGTGCATCACTTCACCTGCCTCTCTTCTTACCCTGATGCACCCGTCACTCTGGAACAGAGTAAATCTGGACTCATCAGACCACATGACCTTCTTCCATTGCTCCAGAGTCCAATCTTTATGCTCCCTAGCAAATTGAAGCCTTTTTTTCCAGTTAGCCTTGTGGTTTTCTTAAGGCTACACAGCTGTTCAGTCCCAATCCCTTGAGTTCCCTTCACATTGTGCGTGTGGAAATTATCTTACTTTCTCTATTAAACGTAGTCCTGAGTGCTGCTGTTGTTTTTCTTTGATTTGATTTCACCAAATGTTTAAGTGATCGCCGATCACGATCATTCAGGAATTTTTTCCGGCCACATTTTTTCCTCGAAGACGATGGGTCCCCACTATCCTTCCAGTTTTTAATAATGCGTTGGACAGTTCTTAACCCAACTTTAGTAGTTTCTGCAATCTCCTTAGATGTTTTCTCTGCTTGATGCCAATGACTTAACCCTTCTGAAACAGACTGACATCTTTTCCACGACCACGTGATGTGACATTCAACTTGGCTGTTTGAGAAATGAGAAGCAACTCATTGCACCAGTTGGGATTAAATAACTTGTTGCAGCTGAAAGATAATCACAAAATGTTTTTGAGCCTCACTTCAGCTAATTTTTCCACCTGAAAATGCATCAGGAGAAGCCCAATGGAGTTTATTAGGACTTTGCAGCTGTGGTGAAATTATCAGATATTCTGTTATGAATAAAACACTAAAGCTACTTCTGTAAAAAAAAATTAAACAATTATACTTTTAGTGGTTTTTCTGTTTTGTTAGTGACTCAGATTTTTAAACACTTTTTACCAAATCGTAGAATGTTCTGTTGAGCTGAAACACCTTTGCTGAGAGTTTGTTGACATTTCTCTATTCAAACAATTTTGAATATTTTCCCATATAAGTATTTAAATTTGATTAAATAGAATATAATGAAATACTTTTAGGTGAAAAAAAAGTTTAGTCATAAAACATAAATTGTTGAATAATAAAAATGAAATTCGAAAAAAATAAATAAATAAACAGATTTCATAGAGCCCTACTCTTCTCAACAATATGTTGCATATTTTATTTATTTATTTGTTTTGTTTGTCCCGAAGCAAACATTTGAAGGAATACTTTATTTTATGTGAAAGTTCAACGGGATTGTGTTTCAAAAAAAATTTCTACAAGGCAATTCAATGTTCTTAAAAAAAATACAATGTTCCTAATTTGCTCAATAATCTATTTCAATCATTGGGATTAATTTCTAATTCTAATTAATAATTTTATCATAATTGTTTGTACATGTGTGCCGTGCTCTCATGCACTGGGCTCTAGACCAAGGAGTGCACCGTGCACATGATTTACTGTGTGTGAGATACCAAGAGAGAAAAATTCCCAGGATAGTTTAAAGGAGATCAGGACCAACAGAAGAGCAAATGGTTGACATATAAAGAAACACAACTATCACAAATATCATCACACCCTACTGTTGAAAATACGCAGTGACTGAGCGGTCAGTATTTACTTGTGCTGTTGTTTCATTCACAGCTATGGAAGGTACGTGGAAGGAACTGGCTCTGTGCTGCAGTGCTGCTTGGAAACTGAGGTGGGTCTCAGGAAACAGGGCTCAAAAACCAGTGCTCAAGTCTGGTACCCAGACATCTTCCACTGAGCTCATTTTTCAGTTTCTTTGATGCTGACTGTAAAACTGACTGCAGTGATCAGTGATCAATATTTACCAAAACTGATATAACATTTTTAAATGTGTTAAATTGGAATACCAAATATATATATATATATATATATATATATATATATATTAATCTAGATGTTACGACAGCAGGGGCTGTGAAACTGGTCAGAGTAGATGGGAAGATGGATGAAGTCATCAAGTTCACTAAAAAACAGTGTTTATACCAAAGACTTTTAGTCTCAAATCAGAGGCAACTCTGTCAGAATTTATTAAAATAAGGAACTTTATTTAACTTTCTCTATGCTGCTCCCCTCTTCAGGGGGGTGCCACAGTGAGTGGTCTTTCATGCAAGAAATGGCAAGTTTAATTATATGTAGGCCTGTCACGATAACAATTTTTTTGTCTCAGAAATTATTGTAATAAACAATAATATTATTTGAAATTTGACAATAATTAGTATTTGTCAAATTTATGTAGAAATGTTGGTTAATTTGTTTTGTGTGTAGTACCTTTTTCTGACCACTAGATATATACAGTGCCTTGCGAAAGTATTCGGCCCCCTTGAACTTTTCAACCTTTTGCCACATTTCAGGCTTCAAACATAAAGATATAAAATTTTATTTTTTTGTGAAGAACCAACAACAAGTGGGACACAATCGTGAAGTGGAATGAAATTTATTGGATGTGTCAACTTTTTTTTTAACAAATAAAAAACTGAAAAGTGGGGCGTGCAATATTATTCGTCCCCCTTGTGTTAATACTTTGTAGCGCCGCCTTTTGCTGCAGTTCCAGCTGCAGTTCCAGCTGCAGTTCCAGCTGCAAGTCTCTTGGGGTTTGTCTCTATCAGTTTTGAACATGGAGACACTGAAATTCTTGTCCATTCTTTCTGCGAAACAGCTGGAGCTCAGTGAGGTTGGATGGAGAGCGTTTGTGAACAGCAGTCTTCAGCTCTTTCCACAGATTCTTGATTGGATTCAGGTCTGGACTTTGACTTGGCCATTCCAACACCTGGATACGTTTATTTGTGAACCATTCCATTGTAGATGTGTCTTTATGTTTTGGATCATTGTCTTGTTGGAAGATAAATATCCGTCCCAGTCTCAGGTCTCTTGCAGACTCAAACAGGTTTTCTTCCAGAATGGTCCTGTATTTGGCCCCATCCATCTTCCCATCAATTCTGACCATCTTCCCTGTCCCTGCTGACGAAAAGCAGGCCCAAACCATGATGCTGCCACCACCATGTTTGACAGTGGGGATGGTGTGTTCAGGGTGATGAGCTGTGCTGCTTTTACACCAAACATATCGTTTTGCATTGTGGCCAAACAGTTGGATTTTGGTTTCATGTGAC